GGCGGGTGGGGAGGGTGGGTGGGGGGGGATCAGAGGTGCATTTTTAAGACCGAACAAAGCCAAACGAAACTTTGAAAACAGTGCATCCCCCGGCACTGGAAAACAACACACAGAAAGAAGAACCCCAAACCAAAAAGAGCTCCCCTCGCCCCCCAGGCATCCCACAGCTACCGAGGAATCCAAGCCGCTTGGACGGTTCTGGGGGGTTTGTGACTTAGGGAGTGGGAAGAACGGTGACATTCCTGCTGTGGAGCTACTGGGATGGCGGGGTGGGAGCTGCGGTTGGTCGCAGGAGCGGGAGGAAGGCCGTTATTTTTGGAAATCCTATAGACAAAAGAATATGGGGGTGGGGAAAATGGCCTTAAACTTGCACTGCCCGAAAGCAGGACGCCCGAGTCTGCGTCCCGAGGAAATGCGGAACTTCGGGGCGGGATCGGCCTCAGCTGTCCCAGGGAATGTTACTGTTCAGAACGGTTCTAGACGGGACCCCACCGCCCTTAGCGCTGGGGCTGGGTTACCTTGAAACGCCGAGCGACTTTGCTCGGCGCCGTGGGGAACGCGTTGGGGGGAGCCCTGGGCCGCTCAGACGCCCGGCTTTTCCCGGGCGCCATCCCCAGGCTGCGATTTGGCAGTTCCGTGGGAGCGGCGACGGGCCGGGGGAGCGAGGGCAAGCCCCGAACGAACTGCCCGCGCTCAGCCGCGCCCCGGCGGCCCGGCGTTTCTTGATTGAGGGTAGTTTTGCACGCCTGTGGGGAGTGGGGCGCAGGCAACGCTGCTCCTCTCCCTAGAAGTCCCTCTTTCGTGTGTGTGCGCGCGCGGGGGTGAATGGCACCGACCCCACCGTGACTACCAATACGTCCCGTGCCATCCATGAATATTCGGAACTTCTGGGATTTATCACCATCGCTTTCTCATGCATGCTTTTCAGGGGGGTCCTTTAAATTCTCTTGCACACGATTGTGGGGGCGGGGGAAGGGGCGAGAGGCGGTTGCTGTATGAGGCGCTAAGCTTTCTTTCCTGTTTACTCAAGGCCAGGGCGGGTCAGACTGCCCACACCTCGCTGCGCCCTCGGACCGGGGTGGGGAGCAGACCCTGCACACCTGCTCCTAGAGCGTTATTAATAGAGCCCGGAGAATGACTGACGCTGTCAAGTGAGCTCATGCAGATCTAGTGTCTCGCTTGGCAATTAGGAGGTGGTGCTGGTCTACTTTAGCTGCGGGAAGAGGCCAAGGTGTGCGTCTCCGCCCTCAGCCTGGCAGCTGAGTCTCTTGCCAGCAGAGACCATGAGCTGGCGGTGAGTGCCTGGCTGAGAGGTGGACGTTTCCGAGAATCTGCAGGCTGCGAACTGGAGAGGGGGCGGCAGGGAGTGGGAATGGGGGTAGCGTTAGAATGGGGCAAACTTTTCCATTTCTTTTGGGAGTGAAGCGAACCTGAGCGACCACAGGGAGAGTTTCCTGTCTTGTCCACTTGGAGTTGTCCCACGGGGGTACAGTTTTGTTTTCTCTCTGCGTCTCTCCCCATTTTCCTCTCTTGGCAAGAAGTGGATATGGGATTATTTCTATTCCTCTCTCTGAGCTCTCCAAGTTTCTTAAGCACAAACCAACAGCAGCACAACTGGAGCTTTGCCTTAGCTTAGCAGAGAGAGGATTGTACCGGCGTGGCGTGGCTTTTCCCCCTGACTTTCTCCTCTTTGTGACTTGTTTAAGGCTGCGGTGTCCGAAGCTCCCTCACGCCAAGGAAAAGCAACACGAAAAACCTGGATCTCTCTCCCTGAACCACCGGGCCTGCCAGTGACGGCTCCCTCGACGTCGCCCTCTAGCGTCCGTCTGGATAAGGGTCACGGGATCCTAGTGGACCCAGTGGGACGCCATGGGGTCCGCGAGCACCCCGCTGTTGCAGGCCCTCCGCAGCAGTTCCGTCTCAGTCTCAGACTATGTCAACTATGAGATCATCAAACGGCATTACAATTACACGGGGAAGCTGAATATCAGCGCCGACAAGGAGAACGGCATTAAACTGACGTCGGTGGTGTTTATCCTCATCTGTTGCTTTATCATCTTGGAGAATATCTTCGTCTTGCTGACGATTTGGAAAACCAAGAAGTTCCACCGGCCTATGTACTATTTTATTGGTAACCTGGCCCTTTCCGACCTGTTGGCAGGGGTGGCCTATGTAGCCAACCTGCTCTTGTCTGGGGCCACCACCTACAAGCTCACCCCCGCCCAGTGGTTTCTGCGGGAAGGGAGCATGTTTGTGGCCCTGTCGGCCTCCGTGTTCAGCTTGCTAGCCATCGCCATCGAGCGCTACATCACCATGCTGAAGATGAAACTCCACAACGGCAGCAACAGCTTCCGCTCCTTCCTGCTCATCAGTGCCTGTTGGGTCATCTCGCTCATCCTGGGGGGCCTGCCCATCATGGGCTGGAACTGCATCGGATTGCTGCCCAGTTGCTCCACCGTGTTGCCCCTCTACCACAAGCACTATATCCTCTTCTGCACCACGGTCTTCACTCTGCTCCTGCTTTCCATCGTCATCCTCTACTGCAGGATCTACTCCTTGGTTAGGACTCGGAGCCGACGTCTGACCTTTCGCAAGAATATTTCCAAGGCCACTCGCAGCTCGGAAAAGTCTCTGGCGCTGCTCAAGACTGTGATAATCGTCCTGAGCGTCTTTATCGCCTGTTGGGCGCCCCTCTTCATCCTGCTGCTGCTTGATGTGGGCTGCAAGGTGAAGAGCTGCAACATCCTCTTCAGCGCCGAGTACTTCCTGGTGTTGGCGGTGCTCAACTCGGGGACCAATCCCATCATTTACACGCTGACCAACAAGGAGATGCGCAGGGCCTTCATCAAAATCATGTCCTGCTGCAAGTGCCCCAGCGGAGACGCTACCGGCAAATTCAAGCGACCCATCATTGCTGGCGTGGAGTTCAGCCGCAGTAAGTCCGATAACTCCTCCCACCCACAGAAGGACGATGGGGACAACCCAGAGACCATTATGTCCTCTGGAAATGTCAACTCTTCTTCGTAAAACTGAAAGCCACCAGTCCACGGGGAGTGCTCCTAGGTGGCCACCATCCCAGTGTTTGGAAAAAATTCCCTGGGCCTCAACTGCTACCAGGGAGGAGCTGCTGCAAGCCAGAGGAAGGGAGGGAGAGGGTCGGCAGCATGGTGTGGTGTCTGGTATGGGGGTAGAGTCAGTTCCTGGGAACAATACACTGGGAAGGGTGGAGATCAGGTCCTGGCCTGAAATGGATTTCCTCCCCCCCGGGAGCTTTGATTTTTGCACTGAGCCAAAGGTCTAGCATGGTCAGGCTCCTGAAGAGTTCATCCGGCTCCACCAAGACTGATGTCCTCAAGTGAACGTGTCTTCTCGTCTGGAACTTTGAGAGGATACTGTCTTTCACTTTAGTTTAAACCCAAATGAGTGTGTGCACTTCTGCTTCTATAGGAATGCTCCCCAGCCCCCTTCACCTCCTCCTCAGAATCACTGAACTTTATATGTTAACTCTCTGGCATTCATCACAGCCAGGCTGGTGGTGAGGGCCATTTCTTGGCCATCTGTGGCCGATAGGCTGGGTGGAGCAGGTAGGCCTGGTGGAGATGGGGGTGGTTTGGAGGTCATAAAACAACTTCATTTGCTGAGGCCAAAGTTTCCACGTCAGATGGATCAGTGTTTTGGAATTTAGTTGAAGTCACTTGGTCTCTGTTTTGCTTTATTTTAAACATTACTTCTTTGCAACACAATCAATGTGTAATCGGTCATACTCCTTGTGCCTGCATCTGTCTAGGGAAGTCCACTTCCCTACATGATATCTGCATGATAGCGGCCAGGATCCTTAGTGTCCTAAAAGAAGCACCCGAGCAAAGGATGGCGAAAATCGACTGTAACAGGAAACCCAGAGAGATTCTTTGATGACTAGACACTTGTCTCTCAAATGTAACATTCTGACTTTGGCACTTTGCTTGATGTTTATTTCAGAGGTCATGTGATTCATTCCAACCAACAGGATGGTTGTCTTTTGTTGTGTTAAACATACTTTTAATGAGTTTTGAATGTATTTGTTTCAGCAAAGGTCATTTTATTGGATTTTTCTAACCCATGTTAACACCATTGAATGCACATCGTTTAAGAAAATACCACCTTTGTGTGCCCCTAAAGCATTACTTTAACTGATAGGGAACACCAGGAGTATTCTGTTTTTTTGTTTGTTTGTTTGTTTCAGTACAGTGTACTATTGATAGGTCATTGAAGAGGTCTTATAAATGTTACAAAGAATAAAGATATATTGCTGTCTCTTTAGGTATGGTTCTCAGTGCAATTAAACCGAGAAATGTCCCTTTAAAAAAAAATAGTATTTAATAGGTTCCTGACTTTTGTGGATTATTTTGCACATAGCTTTATCAACTTTTAAACATTAATAAACTGATTTTTTAAAAAGATCCGTTTGTGAGGAGCATTCTTAAAAATAATTATTGAAACACTATGTGGCTTTGGAATCAAAAATCAAGGAGAAAAATTCTGTTATTCTCTAGAGGATTTTTACTTTGACAAACCAGAGCATGAACAGAAAACATGGCTCATTTAAAACCCATTCAACTTGCTACGGAAAGAGAAACTTCAAGTAAGCTAACCTTGAAGAGTGATAAAGAATGAGATAGGAACCATCAACCTTTTAAAACCCCACTTTGCCAAGTAATATCACTGTTGCAGTTTGTAACTGATTGCTCTCAAGTCAAACTAAATCGGGTACAATAATTCTGCTCTGAAACATGGCGTTTAAAAAGAGCTGCTATATAACAGTATGGCAATGTATCTAACTTAGACTATGAGACTCAGTGGTCCGTGAAGATGCATTAAACAAAAGCTTACCTTCTGAGCCTAGTAGCAGCATGCTAAGGAAGTGGGCGTTTGGACATGGAAGGTAAGGCAAATCACTTAAAAATTATTTTTTTCAGGATATTTTCATTGGTTCCTCTGGTCTACACTTTGAACAAATAGTGCTTGCACAAAATCACTGAGGCAGAAGGTGGAAGAATGCAGGATGAGTAGCTTAGCCTGTTTTATCTGAAAATCTGAAAGCCCTTGATAGTTATTGTCTGAAAGATTTAATATCGTTAGCCCTTAATTTCTCCAAAGTGAGAGTCCTTAATAGGGAACTATGAATGTTCAATGCAATACTCGTGAATCCGTACTTTCTCCAGAGTGAGATTTTGAAGGCATCACAAGAGTTATTTCAATCTTATTTTATTACTGTCTTCATCGGGCATCACATTGGAGTGTGTGTGTGTGTGTGTGTGTGTGTGTAGCTTTCCAGACCTATTGTTACTTTCAGAATTGTGCTTTCAAATGTCACTGTACAGGACACAGTTGGAGCATGAAGATAAACTTCACCTACTCGAGTCGATGTCATTTCTGGGTAAGGTTAACTGTGGGAAACAGGAGTGTGTTCACTAAGGAAACTTTAGGTCACAGCCTCCAGTTTCCTGAAGGAAATGCCAAAAATGCTCAGAAGACAAAAGCCTGGAAACAAACTGGAATGTCTCTATCCATCTGTCTGGTGAGGCGGAAGGAATGATTTCATGTTACACTCACTTCCTAGAGCTCTCGTTACAGAGTCAAGCATACTGGGAAGAATGTCCATTTTCCGTGCCTATGGAAGACTTCATATCCTTAAGTACAGTGGTGACTCATGGCAGATGGCAAAGATAAGAGAGGGGACCGGCCCAGGTGGGGATGCAGGAGCTCATTGGTGACAGGGAAGAGAGCCTCAATTGCCCCTCAATCGAATGTGATTGGATGTGCTTTCTTTGGGAAAACTCCAGGCAATATATTTTATTCCAAAAAAGGTGGACATTCTTGGACTGTGGTTTTCTGAGCAGATGTGTGGCAGAGCCTGAGTTCTTGCCAAGAAGTACAGGCTAAGATGAAGGAATATTTGGCTATGTCCCAACATGAATATCTGGTTTTAATTTAGCATCTTCTGGGAGTTGACAGTGAAAAATATCTTGTTATCTATATGTTTGGATTTTTATAGACATTGAAGGTTTTGGTTAAGAACTCATATAGTGTTTCTCAAGAGGGATAAAACAGATACTGCAGGTAAAATATGACATATTCTAGTAAAAAGTACAAATTGGCTCTTAAATAATACTCAGGAAAGTTGTAAAATTACATCAAATAATGCTTTATTCACAACAAAAGAATAGTGATTGCATTTTTATAGAACATTAAAATAAATATCTTGTGTAAAACAAATGCTTGATTGCTAGTCTTATAAGTAGAGTAATTTAGTTCTTCAATTAAAATTGATCCAGTGATATTATTAGAGATTAAAAATGTATAGTCATTTTCACTCATATTAATTAGACACGCTTCAGCTGGGACAGTAATTTTTGTTTCCTAAGAATACCTAATTAGATCAAACTCAATTCAATCTAGTTTGTTTCCTTATTAATGTGATTCAGCTAGACTTTCCTGTGTTGTTTTCAGAATCTTTTTAATAAACATTTTGATGCAGAAATCAGAAATAATCAAAAGAAACATTCATAGAACCTTCTAAAATATTCTTTCTCTGTGGACACCGCACGTTCTTGATGTGAAATCATAATAGATTGCATCATTTCCTCCAAACTTCTTTCCTGCTCTTTTGATGTGTAGTTTACATGATCCAAAGAAAGGGACCCAGAGTACTTTTTATGTATATACACAATTGTTCTGGCTGTTAAACTAATTGGAACCAAAGTCATCTTTCAGAAAACCCAAGGAAACAGGGTTTGATGGAATCGCTAAAAACCTGTTGTTGTCAAGTATTGTCGAATGATGGAACTAATGGCAGGTTCTAAGGAGCTCTAATGGTGCAGTGGTTAAGGACTTAATTTCAAAGTGAAAAACCCAAGCTTTGCCCACAAGCTACAGCCATGGAAGCAATCAAGAAATCAAAAAGCATTGCATTGGGTAAATCTGCTGCAAACGACCTCTTTAAAATCTTACAGGGAAAGAGTACCCCTGATTCCAAGTCATTATATTTTCAATTACCTCATGTCCATATAGAAGCTGGATGGTGACCGAGAAGGACTAGAGAGTACTTGGTGGTTTTGAACTGCAGTCTTGGCAAAGAGTGTGGAATGGAACAGACAAGTCTTTCTTGGAGGAGATGTAGCTAGGGTGCTTCTTAGCGATCAGAGTGGTGTAGCTTTTTCTTCCATGCTTTTGGCATGTTGTCAGGAAGGACCAGTCCCTGGAAAGCAACCTTCAGCTTTATAAAGTGGAGGGTTAGCAGAAAAGCAAGGAGATCGATTGGCCCAGTAGTGCCAGCACTGGGACTACACATAGGGATAGCTGGTGGCTGGTGCAGGACTGGGCAGAGTTTCGGTCTGCTCTACATGGGGTTGCTATGACTGGGAACCAACCCGAAGGCACGGAACAACAACAACAAAAAACTTTAACTTCACTACAAAATGAGTTTCACTCACTAGTCAATAGAGATAGGAAGAGTTCAGTTGAAGAGAATAGTGAGGGCAGGTTAGACCTACATTTCAAGGAAATGGAATCTATTGCCTAGGGAGGCTGTTCTGACTCCTAGCAGCCCTATAGGCCAGAGTAGACCCCGTAGGGTTCCCCAGGCCACAGACCTTCACTGAAGCACACCGCCACACCATGCTCCCGAGGAGTTGGTGAAGGATTCCCAAAGTGACCTTTCACTTCGCAGCTGAGCCCTTAATCACTGCACCTCGAGGGCTCCTCAGACCTCAATCATTTGACAACCTGAGACAAGAACAAGAAGGAAGGAAACATTTAACCACATTGAGGATATTTCCCCCAATATCTCTTGCTTCTTGCACTTTCTTCTCAGATTCAGACTCAATTAATTCCTGCTTCTTCCATATGATCCGTTTTCCTCCCATTGAGGACAGAAGAATTGAAAAATCAAATTTTGCTTTTCTGGTAACTCTTTGCAAAAGCCCCGTGGGAGATGCAGATGTGACTGAGCAGAAATGGCTGTGCTGAGCTTTGCTGAAGCAGCTTCACGTACTCAACCAGTTTATCTGATAATAATGGATAAACACATTGTGGGAAATTCCTACTGTGAAATTCAAGGACTCAGCAGTATAAAGAAACTACTATTGAGTCATGTGACAACTAGCATGAACTTCAAACCATTATGTTGAGCCAAAGAAGCCAATAACAAAAGAAATACTGTATGGCTCAATATATATATGCAATTCAACAGCAGACCAAAGTAATGTACTAGGCTAGATAGTGGTTGCCTGGCAGGTAGGGAAGATGGGGAATAAACTAGAAAGGTACGTGAGGGAATGTTCTAGGTTATTGGCAAAGTTCTAGATTGTGATTAGTGTTGCTCAGGTGTAGACATGTGTTAAAACGTGTTCAATTATTCTTGTTCAATTATACTCTTATCTCACTGCCAGCTAGTCCACTTCGACTCATAGTGACGCTGTAAAAACAAAACACAAACAGAACACAAAACGCAACGAAACGCTCTGCCATCGAGTCAATTCTGACCCTATAGGCCAGTGTGGAGCTGCCCCTGTGAGTTTCCAAGACTCTAACTCTACAGAAGTAGCAATTCTTCTTTTTCTCTTAAAAGAGCTGGCTGGGAGGTTTGAACTGCTTCCTGTAATCTCTGAGCCATAGTACAGAGTAAAACTACCTTGTTTGGTTTGGGAAGTTGTAAATCTTTATGAGAATAGAAAGCCTTATCCTTCTGCAGAGCGACTGGTGGTTTCAAACTCCTGACCTCATGGTTAGCAGCCCAATCAGTAACCTACTCTGCCACCAAGGCTCCTTAATCCTATTCTGAAGACTTGTGAAGCTAATAATAATCATAATAACAGTAAAGATTATAGTAGGCTTGCACATTGGAGTATGGAGGATAAAAGTCCCAGTGTTCTCCGGAAGGAAGATCTGGTATTGTAGTATTTTGGTTCCCATGTCCTAAAACAAAACATTACAGTGTAGAGAATTGTAACCCGGTGATACACTCTTGGCTTCTACGGGAGGAATAGTTTGCTTAGTGTTTATAAGCCCCGTTGAATGTCTATGACTCAGAAAAGCCTAAAAATGTAATGAAGCTGTCAGAAGTAAACCTTTTATTGATGTTCAGATTTCAAAGTTAGGACCAGTGTTGGGTTTCAAATAATTTAACAACCTGTTTGCTGCCCTAATGATCCTTTTACGTAGAAGAAAAGATATACTGAAAGGTAGTTTATTATTTCATACACTTAATACTTAAACATGAACAATTAAATAGGTACACAAAACTAGATCATGTTAAAAGAGCCTTAAAATATTAATGGAAAATATTAAGTAATACCTTGTAAAATTATTTTTACTGCATATTTAAGATATTTCCATATTGATTGGCATCCTCACTTGCAATATTCTTCACTTTTATCTGAGTGAGTGTCCTGGGCTGTGT